CACCTTGTTCCCTTTCTTCTACTCATCTCCCTTTGATTTTTATGAGATTCACACTGTTTTTCCTTTTTTTTTTCCTCTCCAGCTTCTGCATGAGAGAAAAATTACAACACTTAACCTTCTGAGTTTATTTCTCTTAACACAGTGGTCTCTAGTTCTATCCATTTTCCTGCAATTTTTCATAATTTCATATTTCTTTATTGGCTTTGAACTTTTGATCCTCCTGTCTCAGCCTCCTGGTTGCTGGGATTACAGGTGTGTGCCACCATGCTTGTCTCACATTTTTAAGTAACTGCTTCAACATATATTTATAAAGTCTGAAGCACTGAGTTAGGATTGTAGTCAATAAAAATGGCTAGACTGTAAGCTCAAGGTCAGGGACAAGGATCACAGTCTACATGTGGTAGACAGCTTTCCATTTCACAATATTATTACTTACTAGTATTTCATTGTTTAAATATGTGAGAATTTTACCAGTACCCTACTGATGAATATCTGGACTATGGAAATATGCTAAAGAATAAACCTGAAAATATTTAACCAAAATACTGTAATAACTACCCTTACATACACATCTTTCTTTCCTAGAATAACTTTATTCAAAGAATATACATGTTTAAAATTTGGATAAGGCATTGCCAAATTACTGATTACAAAAGGATGTGAGATTGCATATCTATCATTTGAGTTTCCCCTAACCCTGCCAAACTGGTTAAGGGATTCGTACTATAGTGTTTACTTTTTATTTATTTTATTTTCTTTTGCTACCAAGGATTACACTTGGGGACACTCGACTACTGAGCCACATCCCCAGCCCTATTTTGTATTTTATTTGGAGACAGGGTCTCACCAAGTTAGTATCTTGCTTTTGCTGAGGCTGACTTTGAACTCTCTATCCTCCTGTCTCAGCCTCCTGAGCCACTGAGATTATAAGCATGCATCCCTGTGCCTGGCTGTCTTTCTTTTTAAGTGCTACAAAACCTTAAAAAGTTTAATGTAGGCAAATTATGAATCTTGTCGTTTATGGTTTCATTTAGGTTCTTCTAACAATTTTGTTGCTTTGTCTTTTTTGTTTAAATAATCTGGAACTTATTTTTATTGTAAAGTTACTTTCTCTGGATCTTTTCTATTTTTTTAAATACATTTTTTTTAGTTATAGATGGACACAATATCTATTTTTTTATTTTTATGTGGTGTTGAGGATCAAACCCAGTACCTCACATGTGCAAGGCAAACACTCTACCACTGAGCCACAACCCCAGCAACTCTGGATCTTCTTAATTGGGTCTACAAATGATAAAGATGACATGTTGAACATCCTGAGTTCAGGCTATACTTGTTTGAAATTAATGGGTATTTCTATTATTCCTCTTATTTCAAATTGACAAAAACTATCTCTCTCTCTCATGCACATGTTTTGAAATAATGCACACATCATGGAATGGCTAAACTGCACTAATTAACATAAGTATGACCTCACATGACAATTTGTGTGTGTGCCTTTTCAGATACAAGTCCTGGTTGAGCTTGACCACTTCAAGGTTGCAGTCAATGACGCTCACTTGCTACAGTACAATCATCGGATGAAAAATCTCAGGGAAATCAGCAAACTGGGAATTTCTGGTGACATAAACCTCACCAGTGCTTCACATGCTATGATATAATCTGGAAGGGGCAGATACTTTAAAAATAAAATTGAGTCTAAATTTTACACATTTAAAGGTTTCATATGAAAAAATTTTACCTTTATTCACCAATAGCTTTCTTGTAAGCATCCATTTAATAAATATTCTTACGCTAAATTACCTGTCTTACATGTCATTTAATTGGAGTTTATTAAAGATAATGTACAATGGAAAAATACATAGCAATATTAATACTGTCTTAGGGGCTCCTGAGTTTTCTATATTTGCTAATGTACTTAAGAGAAAGAAACGAGGTAAATATGAGGCACTTGAGGTTGCTGTGTTAACCCCACATATTGCCTTATAGTGGCCTTATTTTTTTAACAAGTAGAAGGAATATACTCAAAAATAACAATAGAAAGTAAAAACGAATCTAACAAAGTTGCTTATTATAAAGTATTATGTAGTATGCATAATTGAGTATACTATACTTTTATACAATTGGCAGTGCAGGTTTGTTTACACTAGCATCACCACAAACAAGTAATAGGGTGTGCTCCATTTCAAGGGCTAAGTCACTAGGCAATCCAAATTATTCATCTTCATCATGATCTTCTGGGCCACAAGATCTCAGACTATCACTGACCAAAATGTCATTATGTTGCACATGACTACATTTTCTTTTGACTGCTTTTTAATCCTTTATATCTCTTGTAAACAATGAGACTATCTCCATGTCTTGGTTTTTATAAAATTTTCAGATTTGAAGAAAAAAAAATCTTAGTTTGCAAAATTTAATTGTTCCCATGTGAATATTCTTATGTTTTCTACCCTTCCTTATTACTAGTAAAACCGAAGATTCAAAAAATTTTGGAACTGGATGAGTTCTCACTACTTCAGCTTACAGAAAACCATTATTTTATCTATTATTATTTCGACAATATCATCTTCTTAAATAATTTAAATTAGTAATTATCACAGGGTAGGAGTCCTGGGAAGCAGAGTAGAATACAAGGTTTGTGATGGAAGGCACTTAGAATCAATACATGTGGGGACAAGAACATGATCGGGCAGAGGGAGTTCAACAGCAATGTCTAAGCCCACCCTTGGGGGCATTCTGAAGTTTTAAGGGAGCCAGGCCTTTACATCCCCAGTTCAGTCAATCACTAAGCACAAAATACAAGACACAGGAGAAATGGTGTGACCTTGGGTGCAATGGCTGTCCTCAGATGAGGAAGTAGACAAGCTGAGGGCTGTGGGCCAGTGGTATAGTTCTTTGGATCCTAAAGAGGGATTTGGATAACATATACACAGCATATTTCAAAAACTATGTAAATTCCTTATCTTAACGTTTTAGTGTTGACTGTCCTACTTATGAGATTCAATGGAAGAGTATAGCTTTGGAGGGGAAAAAAAATGTGGTTTATACAAAATTACTTAAATTCTCTGGGCCTTGGTTCCTTTATCTATAAAATCTCTTGTAGCATTACTATAACATTACACAAAATAATTTTGCAAGAGGGCTGTCAAATAGTAAGCCCTCAATAAATAGAAATTTTCCTTTCTATTTTGGAAAGGCTCTTATTTTACTCAAGTAGTTTTCTTTCATTTTGTCTCTAAAATTTTCCCTAATACCTTGTAAGTCTAGCGCCCAATAACCCAATAATAGGAGACATCGATGGTTACCTGTTTTCTACCAGCCATGTTTTTATTCAGATATGATTCCAGACTCAATAAGGAATCCTGATTAGTCATTGAAGTCAACTTCAATGTGGCATTAGTTGGCCTAATCAGGCCAAAGGGAAGGACATAGCTGCTTGCCACTAGCAACCATCTTAAGACCCCAACAGGACCAAGCCTTGGATTAGAAGCTGACACAAAAGATGACAGAAAAATAAGAATGGAATGTGGACCTTGGGGCAGTCATCGAACTGTTTAGAATCAACCTGATAACCCAGGAAATAACAAGTTTCCTAGTTGTTAGGCTAGTATGAGTCCATTACTCATTTGTATAATTCAGATAAGCCAGGAAGAAAGAATATATACATTTTGGTTTTCTAGGGGCTCAGGTCTATGAATACCTAAACAGCTAAAAGTTTTCTAAATTATTCAAAAGTATACCTTATTAAACCTACCTTAAAAAATCTTGCTTTTTTTTTTTTTTTGTTGCTGACAATGACTTACTCTTCTCTGCTTTATTCTTGAGAACAGATGTTATTTTACTATTATGTTGTATATTGCTCTATATAGATTATAAATAGTCATGAGTTACCCTGTATTAACATTTTAGGTGTTCATGGTTGTGGGCCCTTAGAAAACCATAATTTTTATGTATATTTCCTTTTTTTCTGCAAGGCTTGTTTGAATTATTCACTAATCTACTGAAGAGGAGGCATTCTGATAATATTCTTCTAAGCCAGCACCTCACACTGCCTTTATTTAGGGCTTACTTGGGCTTGATAATAAATACCATCTTTCAGCAGGTTGTGGTGGCGCACATCTATAATCCCAGCACCTCAGGAAGCTGAGAAGGGGAATCACAAGTTCAAGGTCAGCCTCAGAATTTAGCAAGACCAGAGGATATAGCTAGGTAGTAAAGAGCCCCTGGGTTCAATCCTCAATACTGCAAAAATAAGTATGTAAATAAGTACCAACTTTCCCACAGCCTAACACATCTTTCTCTGACATCAAAAGTAGTACATGGTGGAACATGCCTAAGCAATTTAGTGAGACCCTGACTCAAAATAAAATGGGCTGAGGATAATCTCAGTGGTAGCATGCCTCTGGGCTTAATCGCCCATGCTGGGGGTCAGGGGGTAGGGGAAAGAAAGCATGTTTCCTTTTCTCATTTGAAAACCCCTAATCTTAAAAGGTCAGGCATAAAATTCCTATTTGTTTGGTAAATGCCTCCAATCCTCAACTCATTTTCAGACATAAATAACAGACCTGGTGACTAGCTACAGCTACTGAGTCTTTTTGGTGCTCTGCTATTCTGTAGCTATGCATTTTACAATCCTATAGTTAAAGAGAGTGTATAAAAGAGAATATACTTCAAACACATTTTGTGATTAATATGAGTCTCTCTTCAAGAGAAAAAGGCAATGGCTGTTGTCTCATCAAGCAGAAAGTGAAAAGAAAAAAGCAAGGATTTAATGGGCATTTCTAATAATTTAACCATTTGAAACTGTAGCACTCCAAGCTATTTAACATCAACAAATTTAAGAGTTCAAATTAAGAAGAAAGTATAAAAGGATGCAAATATGTTGGTTAAAATTTAATATTTTAACTAAACTAAAATTTTATAAGCTCTAAGTAAGTATAATTAGCTTTAAACCTATACATTTTACACAAAAGACACAAGGTGAAACATACCTTTTATTCTATGTGGTTAATATACAAAATATTCCCACTTCCCCTGAGAAATAGTATATCTAAAATACACTTAGATTAACACATACTAAAACATTATATGACAATATATAAATGGATTGAATAGAAGTGAACACAAATACATCTTCATCAAACTTCTAATTGTCTCCAAATATTTCACAGCATTGGATTTATTTTTAAATTCAAAATTCTTCTGGTTTTTCTCCACTGAGGGGCCTTAGAGGTGAAAAGGTAATGAGATTACCACCAAAGGAGATGTGTCTGGCATGTTCTTGATGTCGCCTCTCCACCTGATTACTGAAGTTTAGGCCTGGCTAAAGAACAAATTTAGAGAAATCACTAAAGTAACCATCAAGAGTTAGCAAGGACTGGGATTGTGGCTTAGTGGTAGAGTACTTGCCTCAATGTATGAGGCACTGGGCTCGATTTTCAGCACTGCATATAAATAAATGAATGAAATAAAGGTTCAGGGCTGGGGTTATGCCTCAGTGGTAGAGGGCTTGCCCAGCATTTGTGAAGTACTGGGTTCGATCCTCAGCACCACATAAAAATAAATACAATAAAGCTATTATGTCCATCTACAACTAAAAAGATAAATAAAAATAAACGACCATCAACAACTAAAAAAATATATTATTAAAAAAATGGAAAATTTCATATTAAAAAAAAAAGTTTTACCAAGTAAATCTTCAAGATGGCTAGTTAATAGATCAATTAATAACAAATACATTTCCCTGTGCAACAATACTACATTACTAGTAACATGACTTTGCTACTTTCTAGTAAACTTAACTTCAAATAATTTTTTAATTGAAACAAAACTGGGAATTTGTTCCTAAAGTTATACACACATACACATATAACTATATCTACATATAGATATATATAAAAATATTTACATATATATATAAAATTATATATATACATATATATATATAAATTGGGCAGTATACACAAGATGAATAAAATTATGACCATATCTTAGGCAACTCATGCAGATTCCACAAATTCTAAACCATATAACAATATTTAATAAGCCCTTTACTAGAGTGTGATCCTGCTGGGATCCTTTATTCCTTCCCTTCAAACTCTACTTCGGTTTTAAATAGTACTACTGGGCAAGCAATAATTTGGGCCTAACTAGACAGGTGGACTTAAATATCTAACATTTATGAAATGAGAAAACAAATCACAGGAAAACAAAGATTTATCAATTTATCATTAGGTACCTTTATTCATATTAATATAAAAAATTGAATATTTTGACTTATTAACTCCTAGACTTACTTATATATTATTAGAACCAATAATCCAGAGTTCAGATATGGAAACAGGATTAAATCAGGTTTATATAAACTGGCTTATGCTGAATTCCCCGATCCTCTAGGTTTCAGTTTCTGATTAAGGAAAGCAAAGACCAAGAAGAAAATCCTTTTTCTTGGTACCAGGTATTGAACTCAGGGATGCTTACCAACCGAGCCATATCCCTAGCCCTTTTTATGTTTTAATTTGAGACAAGGCCTCACCAGTTACTGAGACTGACTTAGAACTTGCAATCCTCCAGGCTTAGTTTCCTAAGTTGCTAGGATTACAAGTATATGCTGTGGCTCAACTTCTGACTCAACTTCTCCTGAGACACAAGGCAGCCCAAATCTGACCACAAAGGAGGCACTCAATTTAATGAACTTCTCATATTATTTTAAGACCAAGGACATAAACATAGTTATCTAAAAGAATTGGATGCAAATAACCAAGGATGATTGAAGACAGGACAATACCCCTGCCCACACTGTGTGTTTTGGATAAGTAGAAGTTAACCTTGTATTTTCCTTGCATGATTTAGAAATACCTAGCATAATCCAAGCCACTATTAGACATTCAAGTATTCAACTAATTTTTTCATATCAAATTTGATATATAAATCATAAAGGAAAATAAATGCTCAGGCTTTAAATACTAAAACATACTATATTTTAGAGTACATAAACATAGAACATTTTTTCTCCATTTTTAGAAAATGAATAATGAATGGATTTCAGAGTAAGCAAAAACAGTAAGACAAATTTTAAGCCTTGCACACAAAGTGAAAATACTCATTTTATAAAACAAATCTAGAATAGAAGGAATTGTCAAATTAAGTTCGAAAACTTACCGAATCAAGAAGGTGGCATTCAGTAAAGACACTTTTATTATCAAGTAGTACTGAGAAACAAGAAAAAATAATTTTTAACTTTAAATAATATTTTTGCAGTCAAGGATGTTAGAAATGGGTAATAACTTGAAAGCTATCAAAAGGTCTGTATATCACATGCTAAGACAAAAACATAGATCATTTTATGCTATATTTTAAAAGTAATTTCTTGGTAATATTCTTATCCTTAATTTCAGCATAAAAAGTGTCTTCTTTGATCAGTCTCATGCTTATAATATTAAGGATACCTAAAAGATGCTGACAAAGATCAGGTAGAGAACATTAAATGCCTGGACATAGTTAAACCATTTTATTTTATCTTAGGTCCCAGCTAGACCACAACCATAGTAGCAGATGAAAATAACTGATGAAACTAGCACACATTATAATGTAACAAAAGCATAAGACCCTTTTTCTCTTGTAGAGCAATCACAACAAAAGTAGGTATAAGCTGAGCACAGTGGCACACACCTCTAATCCCAGTGGCTTGGGAGGCTGAGGCACTAGAACTGCAAGTTTAAAGCCAGCCTCAGCAAATTAGTGAGTCCCTAAGCAACTCAGCAAGACCCTTTCTCTAAATAAAATGTTAAAAAGTATATGGGGGTGTGACTCAGTAATTAAGTGCCCCTCAGTTCAATCTCTAGTACAAAAAAACAAACAGTAGGGTCGAAGAGCATGAGAAGAAGATTAACATTAAACAGGGATGAGAGGTGGGAGGGAAAGGAAGAGAGAAGGGAAATTGCATGGAAATGGAAGGAGACCCTCAGAGTTATACAAAAGTACATACAAGAGGAAGTGAGGGGAAAGGGAAAAATAATACAAGGGGGACAAATGAATGTCAGTAGAGGGGGCAGAGAGAGAAGAGGGGAGGGGAGGGGAGGGGAGGAGGGATAGTAGAGGATAGGAAAGGCAGCAGAACACAACAGACACTAGTATGGCAATATGTAAATCAATTGATGTGTAACTGATGTGATTCTGCAATCTGTATATGGGGTAAAAATGGGAGCTCATAACCCATTTGAATCAAAGTGTGAAATATGATATATCAAGAACTATGTAATGTTTTGAACAACCAACAATAAAAAATTAAAAAAAAAAACAACAAAAAACGGTAGGCATTAGGGAGGAAAAAATAGAGGATATTTTGAAGACAGGTTTGGAGATATGTATTAAAGATAAAAACTAAGAAACTTGGAGTTTTTCTGAGACTTCAGAAAATGCTGTTAAATGAAGGATTCCAAAGTAGGTATTATGTAAAATGTTCCTCTCTCCAATGTGGATTAGTATACTTTTTTTTTTTTTTTTTTTAGGTCTCTCTCAAGGTTTGGGGTTAAGAGTAGAATACAATAACATAAACCAGTGTTTTTTTTTGTTTGTTTGTTTGTTTTTGCGGTGGGGGGATACTAGGGATTGAACCCAGGGGTGTTTTTCCATTGAGTTACATCCCTAGCCCTCCTCCCTTTTTTAAAACAATTTTTTTTTTCAGTTGTAGGTGGACATAATACCTTTATTTTATGTTTATGTGGTGCTGAGGATCAAATCCAGGGCCTCATGAATGCTAGGCAAGTGATCCTGCTCTGAGCCACAACCCCAGCCCCACCCCAGTCACTTTTCATTTTGAGACAGCATCTCACTAAGTTGACAGGGCTGACCACGAACTTGAGATCCTCCTGAATTACTGGGATTACAGATGTGTACCACTATGCCCACCTCATAAACTAATTTCAGATATTTATTGTGAAAGTTCAATTTCACAACCTTTATCTTTAGAAAATGGTACTCATATTTTTTATAATCTATACCTTAAATCCAAATTCATTTTTCAACAAAGCCTCTTTGTATTTTAGACAATCTTACCCAATTGAGAAGGATTAACTTCTTGTGAGATGTTATTTTGTGATGGTATATTTTTTTCAGGGCTAGTCATCAAAACATCTTGTGAAGTAACTGAAGAATTTAGTTCCATTCTTTCCTCAATATCTGAAATTTCTTCCTTTTTGTTAGTTCCATATTCATCCTGATATGAGATGAAAAATACAAAAAGCTCCAGGTTTTCAAATAAGCCAAAGGTCACTGAAATAAGAATTATCATTCTGTAGGACTAATATAATTTCTAATGGAAAATCTAGGTGTTGCTTATGGAATTGCTACACAGAATGATATAAATAGATGATATACTGGACTATCTACTACAATAGGACTTACATGATTTATTTCAATTAAACCTTGTACTCCAGGACACTGAACATCTTCTACTATGCTATTCCTAAAAAAGAAAAGAAAAAATGCATTATACTCCACTAATTAAGCATATTGTTCTTTTGACTTGCCTTTTAAATCTATCCTTTATGGAGAGAGTTAGTTTAGGAAAGTGGTCAAAGATAGCGCCTGGTCCAAGATCCAGCCTGACAGAGATATAATGGACTATAGTGACTAAAGCATGGCCTTAAACAAGGTATTTTTCCCCAGAAACTCCTGAGCTGGTCATCAGTCTGGTCAGCCAGGTTAATGTAGCTGCACTGGCAAGACTTTCTTAGCCAATTCTAGAGCCATACACAAGGGACAGGTCAAGATGAAATTGACTTCTGTAAGTTGAACAATCCAATTATTGTGTAGTTAGAGTTGGCTACATTGTCTTATTAGTTATAATACAATACAATCTAAAATCTTACATTGTAATTTATTAGAAATATGTATCTCAATGTCTCTGAAGTTTTTTTTAATTCACCTTTTCTAGTTACAATACAATACAATCTAAAATCTTACATTGTATTTTATTAGAAATATGTGTCTCAATGTTTTTGAAGTTTTTTAAATTCATTCTCTTTTTCTACTTTTTAACTTCATTTTGTCTTTACTGTACAAAGTTGCTTATTACTAAGATGCTCTTGCTGAACTATTTTTGGCAATCAAACATATACACACACACACACACACACATATATATATATATTTTAGTTGTTGTTGGACCTTTATTTTATTTATTTATATGTGGTGCTGAGAATCAAACCCAGTGCCTCACACATGCTAGGCAAGCACTGTACCACTGAGCCATAAACCCAGCCCAGCAATCAAACATTTTTTAAAAAAACATTTGTAATATAACTCAAATGCAATTATTGATCTTCCCAGTATAAGACAAAAATCTACAGTACATACTATGGGAACTTATTGGCTTTTGAGAAACAATAATAAATTGGACTGGGTGTGGTGGTACACACCCTTAATCCCAGCAACTAGGGAGGCTGAGGCAGGAGGATCAAAAATTTCAAGACCAGCCTTTGCAATTTAGTTGGGGGACAGGAAAGGGAAGAATGATGATAAATTGTTATTTTATTTAGTACTGGGGATTAAACCCAGGAGTGCTTAACCACTGAGCCACATTCCCAGTCATTCATTTATTATTTGAGAAAGGATCTCACTATGTGATCCTCCCCTCTTCAGTCTCCTGAGTATCTGGAATTACAGACATGTACTACCATGCCCAGCTCCAATCTGAAATCTTAAATCTCAATCCCCTCATTCATAGAAAGCATGACTTGCCTATGTTATAGATCATTGTGAAATCTAATTAACAATATATTCCAGGCATATTTTACTAGTTTAATAATCTGAAATGATATAATATGATTAGCATTTGTTAAATTCTTAATAACACGTTAAAGAAATACCTGCTTTCAGAAATATTTGAAAACAAAATTTTCTTATCAACACATTCACTTTTGATGTTCTGAGGATGAGGATTCTCCGGTGATATCATCTTTCTTGGAAGGTCCTCACCGGCTTTGCCCTCAGGTACGGCTTTGCTGATGGACTTAGGTGTTCCATGTCTTTGAGAAAGATGTTCAGAGGAAAGTACTAGAAGACGAGTGAAATCACCTCAAAATCAAAAATTTCTTTCATTCACTTTTCTTTAAAACCCATAAGACAATGCAAATCCTACTTTTTTTTCTGTCAAATAATATTTGTTAAAGTCAATGCTTGGAATTTTCTATTAAAGACAGTGCTAAACCCTCAAATTAGATTATGCTTCCATTTAACATTTCACTAGTATAACATTAACAGAAGTAATCTTAAAAGGCAGAAGTCTACAAGGACAAAGGAAATAAAAGAACAATAACAAAAATAATTTGGAAGCTGTTATGTATTATGGCCAAGTGGGATATTGCTTAGAACCCAGCAAATGAATACTATACTAAGCCACCAATCAGGAAAGAAGAGTCCACTCAATTTCTACCATAGAACACTTCAAAAGAATCAATGGCCCAAAGTATTTCTGAAAGTGGAGATAAAAATGGAGCTAAAAACAGAAGAGGAGTTTAAAGTTAGTTTAAAGGATTATTAGAGCTTATATTTCTTTGATCATTCTGCAAAGTAGAGCCAATAACCTCTTCCCCACACACAAACTAGAGGGGTTCTGAAATATCTGAAACAGAAGGTCTCTGGCTTAGGGGGATACTAGATACAGTATCACTATATTGATCAGTATCACTTATTTTCAATATAGTGAGATGGGTCACTATATTGAAAATAAGGACAGTAAGTGATTATTTACAAATAATCTGTTGAAATTTTTCCCCTCTACATGGTTCCTGAATGGATGGCAGCCAAAATTATAGCATCCAGATAGCAGATGAGAAAAATCTTCTATGGGGAATCTAAGTAGCCTATGAGAAAAGATTTAAATGCAGCAAAGTATAGGTTCCCAGGACAATGGCCCAGCTACCTGCCCCCACAGTAAAGGCATAACCCTTGTACACAGATTCCAGCCAGTTACTTACTATCCATTCTTAACCATAACCAAGTAGTAAAGGATTAGACTTCTGAGAAAAACACATGAAAGTATCTTGAAACAAATACTGACTAAATTAGGGGAAAAAACATAAAAGTGTTATTAATATCCATAGTGTTCTCATGAAACACGTGCAGAATAATAAAATGGAACAATTGGGGAATGAGAATGAGCTCTTTGAAATTAAAAACATTATAGCCAGCAGGAAAGTTGAGGAAATCATGTTGAGAAAAGTTGAGGAAGTACAGGAAAGAAAGTTTACCAAAAGAAAATTATATGTTTCTGAAAAACAATCAAACCTTGTTTAGAAACATAGTGTTAAATAATACCAAAAGACTACAATAAGAGGCTGGGGTTGTAACTCCATGGTGGAGTGCTTGCCTAGCATGTACGAGGCACTGGGTTCAATTCTCAGCACCACATATAAATAAATAAATTAATTAAATAAAGGTTCATCAATATCTTAAAAAAAAAGACTACCATAAGAATTGAAGTGACGGCCTTTAGGGACTGGCAAATGGGATGAAAGGGCCCCTTCAAGGACTATTGTTTTCTAATAAGCCTCACAGAAACTAAGCATTATACTTCAATTTTAAAAGATCAGTTTTTCTCACAAACCTTCCCTATTCATAAGGATGGAGTTGAGTATAGTTGTGTACCTGAAAGAACAGAGAGGGATGAGTTCCTAGCTGCAGAAACCACTAGGATCCTTAAAAAGTATGGGGCCATGCTATTAGTAGTGGTGGGAGACTCTCATCATATGGAGAGCTCAGCTGCTTAAAGGGAGAAAACAAATCAAAGCCACTCCAGCTATGATATCAAAACCAACAAGAAGATTGTAACATACTTGAGGTGATATATTTATACCTCTTTTAAATAACAGTACTGGGGACTGAACCCAGGAGCCTCGACCACTGAGCTACATCCCCACCCCTCTTTATTTTTTAAGATGCTGAGGCTGGCCTTGAACACATTATCCTCCTACATCACCCTTTTGAGTTGCTGGGATTACAGGCATGAGCCACGGTGTCCAACAAGGTGATATATTTACATCTTAATGAAAGTATCAGATAGCAAGTATTAGAAGCTTAGGGTTACTTTTAGAAAATTAGTGAACACAGACTTCTTAGTGGACATATGTGGCTTATAAATAATTTTAATTGAGATACATGTTTAATAAAAATGATCTGTGAAATAACAGTTATTCAAAAAGTTAGAAAATTAGTTTCCTAAAGTATTAAATGATGGTTATACTAGAATATTTTACTTATTTTGTTTTTGAAGTGCTAGGGATTGAACTCAGGTTCTCTTGCATGATAGGCAGAGGTCTACCACTGAGCTACACCCTTAAACCTCACTAGAATCCTTTAAAATTGGGAAATTAGTACTTTTACTCTCTGTCAAAATATTTGAGTTTTAACTCAAGTGAAAATACCAATTCTACCTTTCATAAGCTTTGTTTTAAAACACAATAGAAGTGTAAGGGTTTAATGTCCAAACTACTTTTCATCTTTTTTTGGGGGGGAAGGGTTCTAGAGAGTGAATTCAGGGGTGCTTAACCACTGAGCCACAACCCCAGCCCTTTTTTGTATTTTATTTAAAGACAGGGTCTCACTGAGTTACTTAGGGCCTCGTTAAATTGCTGATGATCCTCCTGCCTCAGCCTCCTAAGCTGCTGGGATTACAGGCATGCACCACCATGCTCACCTTTTCATCTTAATTCTAATCCAACTTCTTGCTTGAAGAAAACAACTTCTCTTTATTCCATCATTATCCTTACCTCTTAGGATCTTGTGACCTAAGCTTCTAGATTGTGGGGTTATATGGTAACAATAGCTGTGAAATCACTTACAAAATATAAACTCAATCTTATGAAGTAAACCCCCCTTAAACCAATCTGGTCATACTCATCAAAATAAAATTTGCATGCATGTGTGAATTAGCACATAGTCTATTCTGTTTGAGAAGTCATAGCGTTTACAACTCTTCATATCAAAAACTTTTTTTGTGTTTTATATAAATTTGCCTCAAATATTTCTCTTAAGTCTCAGCAAAAACAAAACTAACCTGAGAATGATTTCACGGGACTCTCAATTCTGAAAAACCCAGCATCAAATACTATTTTGTCAACTTCTTTTGATATTACAGGGGCGGTTGCCTCCGAGTGTTCTTTCTGTTTAATTTTCGCTCTCATTGCATTTTTTATGGCAGCTAGGCGATTTCTAGCTGCAATCCTTCCATCATCATCCTGTTTTGGTTTACTTGCCATGCTTGAGACAATTTTTTTCTGCAAAAAGAAACAATGTTAAAGCTGTTACTATTAAAAAAAGAATTTTGTCACTTAAAAAGTCTAACTTAAAAAAAGTGTACATTAAATATATCACACATTCACCACATACTTATCAAGTTCCTAGTATGTGCTAAGAATTCTGGAGGCAGAATGGTAGGGGATATCCAGGCTGGTGGCACAAGGCTGAAATCCCAGCTACTCAGAAGGCCAAGAGGGCAGGAGGAACACAAGTTCAAGGAGAGCTTTGACAACTTAGTGAGACTCTATCTCAAAATAAAACAAAATAGGGCTGGGGCTATAGCTCAGTTGGTAGAGTGCTTGCCTCCCATGCACACGTCCTAGGTTCAATCCCCAGCATCATTAACTAACTTAAAAAAAAAAGGACTGGAAATATAACTAAGTAGTAGAATGCCCCTGGGTTCAATCCTTAGTACTGCAAAAAAGTAGAGGAGGGGAAAAAAGGTAAAAGACAAAGTTTTTAAGTTTTTGCCCTAAAGAAGTTTACAGCTTGGTAAAATAGCTAGGATTGCAAGAAGGATAAGTATCATGTTAGAGGTAAACTCAAACAGCTATAGTAGATTATGAGAATGACACTTAAACCAATCTTCAGAGGTCAAGAAAAGCTTACAAGAATGTAGCACCTAAGCTGAAATCAATTAGCCAGGTAAAAGATGGGGTGAAGAAAGGCTAGATGAATAGCATGTTTGCAAAGCCAGAAGGGAAAGAAAACAAAGATAAGATGGCAGGATATAAGCAACAGTGGGATTATAAAATCTCTTGTAATCATTTTGAGGGTACATCTACACATGACAGAGGAATAAAAAGGAGTGGTTTTTAAGCAACAGGTTAACAGTATAAAATTTTGTGTTTTAGGAAGACCGCTCTGGTTACTGCCAGGAGAATGAAACTGGGAAGGAGATTACTGCAATGACATTGGGAAAATATGATAGTAATCAGACTAAGGAAAAGGATGTGGAAAAAAGTGATTGGATTCAAGAGATACTTAAGAGGCAGAAATAAGATGACTTGCTTATCTACTGGATGTGGTTGGATGGAGATAGTGAAATGAAAAAAGGAAAGGATCACAGGAGATATTCAAGTTTCTTACAAATCTGACAGGATGGTCACAGGGAATGTGTGAAAATCATTTCAGTGTGGGATATACTGATTTTTAAGGTCTAATGAGTCATAATATATAGAATTAGAGTTGGGCAGTAGGTATGGTTTGAAATACAGACTTAGGAATCACTGAACAGCAGTTTAAGATTGTACAGGAAGGGCAGGGATGTAGTTTAGTGGTAGAGGATTTGCATGGTATGCATGAAGCCCAGGGTTCAATTCCTAGCACTGGGAGAAAAAAATCATACAGGAATGTGAAAGGCAAGAAGAAAGTTGAGGTAGAAACTCTGAATATAAAAACATTTAAGAGATAATGGAAAAGCAAACTTGCAAACATGACTAAAGATTGGGCAGAGAGGTAGGAGGAAAATCAGAATATAATTTTAAGAAAAAGAGAGTAGAACATATTTAAAACTAAGGAAGAGTTAGACTTTATAAATTAAGTATCTAATAATTTCAGTAATGAGTTGATTAATAACCTTGATAACTGCTCTTGAGGGACAGGGAGAAGTAAAACCGAATTGCAGAGAGAAATGGAAGCCAAATCACTTAAGATATCTACGACCTTTTCAGGAAGCTTGTCTATGATTTGGAAGGAAAAGATTGGGAACAGAGGGGCAAGTACAAATAATCAGAGGGAAAGGTGAACACTACAAATTGGTTTATTTGTTTTAATGTAAACAAAGTTAAGACAGACACTTCAAAAAGCTGAAGAAAAGAGGAAAACAGGTTAACTGATGGAATAAAAGGATGATGAACAAGAGACAGAAGGAAGCAGTATCATAATCTGAACATTAACTTGTAAGAACTAGGGGTAGTTCTCATGGTAGAGCTCTTGCATAGCACATGAATCCCCTGGGTTCACTTGCCAACATTGTGGGTGTGGTGGTAGTAAAAAGGCCTTAAAAAAGAAAAAATAAACTGTATCCTATGAAATAAAGTAGAAGGAGAGAGACATCTGGTGATAACAAGTAGAATTACAAGACTCTGATATGATATAGCCATTATCATTGATATTAATATTTCTAGGACTAAATAAGAAATACCCCCCAGCCCCAGTAGCTTTAATAAGTAATATCCTTCACTATTTAGAAAATTTGAAATTGATTCAATCACTTAGTTGCTGCCCTCAGGGTCTTTCTTGTCATGAGGCTTTATTAGTAAAATAATTTTATAATAAAGGTTCTTTTAATGCTTAATCACCTTAAACTTCAAAGATAGGATTCAGAACAGTCTTAATTTGGATAACAAAACATAAAAAAAATACTAGACAACCTGGCATGGTTTTAAACTAGTAATGCTCAACTTGATAAGTGTCTACCTGAACCAAAACCACTGAGCTCAAAATATCACTCTATTAAAAACGACTAGAGATTACCACCTGATCTTTGTGCTTGACTCCTGCCAGGATAAAATTACCTTCAGGTTATATATATACATAAAATAAGCTTTATATGAAATATAGATAATTTCTTGTTTAATCTTAGGTCCCTCCACCAAAATATCTCTTTATATATGTGCAAATATCCCAAAACCTGAAATATCTCTGTTCCCAAGCACTTTTTTTTTAAGGGGGGGGGGAGGGAGGGAGGGAGGGAGGGAATTGTTTTAGTATTTATTTTTCAGTTTTCGGTGGACACAACATCTTTATTTTTATGTGGTGCTGAGGATCGAACCCAGCACCCCGCGCATGCCAGGCGAGCACGTTACCGTTGAGCCACATCTCCAGCCCCTCAAGCACTTTTGATAAGGAATATTTAACCTACACTAAAAACTGGGATGTTCCTTGTATTAATCTTAAAACGTACTAATGTGAATAAAAAGAAAACGTGGGGTGGGGATGTAGCTCAGTGGTACAGCGCTTGCTTAGCACTTGTGAGGCACTGAGTTCAGTCCTCACATAAAAACAAACAAATAAAGGTATTCTGTTAGTTTACAACTACAAAAAAATAATAAATAAATAAAAGGTATCGTGTCCATCTACAACTTAAAAAAAAAAAATCAAACAACTTAATACTATCACAGTAATGCTACTGGTATCCCTTGGAGAAGGTAAACATTAAAATGATGTATTTTTAAAAAATGACTAGAGATAGATAAAAATGGTATAAATTTCACCAGGTAATGGTAAAGGGAATAAGACATAAGTTCTAAAGAGCCACTGTTCCTCTTTTCTTTTAAAAAATGCCTTTCATTCTAAAATCTACTATACAAAAAAGCATACAAACCAGCAAGGGAACAGAGTCAACTGGTTAAGTACATGGATTCTGGAATGAAAAAGTCTGGCCTAAAACCCAGCTCCACTTTGAGCAAATGATTTAATTTTGGGGGGCTTCAGATTCCTTAACCATAAAATGGGGCCAATAGAACCCAGCCCACCAGATTGCTATAACGATTACGTAAGTTATACTTGGAATAATAGTTGGCCCATACAAAACATTATGTCAATCACTTATTAATAATATCATTACAACCAAATACATCAGTACAGTTTAAAGAATAAAACCAACAGTCATGTACCCACTATCTGCTAACTTCAAACCATCTGGGTGCCTCCATTCAATCATAGCTCTTACTTTCTTCTCTCCAGAAATAAACACTTTTAAATTTTGTGATCATTTCCTTGTTCTTTACTTAAAAACAATCAGGACTTTGTAAGTAACACATGAAACTTTATAAAATGGGAAAACTGAAGTTAAATGTTTCTAAAAATCAAGTGGAAGAAATATTAGAAATATGAAATATAAACCCCACAAACTTACCCTAAAGACTTTTTTATTTGTATTGTTATTGTTTTGCCATCCAGACTCCTCGAGTTTGGTCAGATTGTTGAATTTTTGGTTTACATCTTCTATCTGTTAATAAATAACGCCTAAGTTTATCAGATTAATGCTAATCAAATACAAACTAATAAATTACAAACTAATGAACTTAAGCTTCAAAAAAATTGAGAACAGTGACTCAGAACTGGCGACTCAGCTAGGAAGGGTGACAAAAGACTATAATTCCAGTTACTCCAGAGGTTGAGGCAAGAGGACCTCAAGTATAAGGCCAACCTCAGCAACTTGGTTAAGACCCTGTCTCAAAATATAAGATGAAAAGGCTGGAGATACACCTAGTAATAGAGTGTCCCTGGTTTTAACCACAGTACTATAAAAATAATAAAAAGCTGAGTTATTAAAATTAGACTGAGTCATTTTTTATTTTTTGACAGTAACAGAGACTGAATCCAGGGATGCTCTGTCACTGCTACTGAACTACATTCCCAGCCCTTTTTATTATTTTGAGACAGGATCTTGCTAATTTGCCCAGGCTGTCTTCTAACTTATGATCCTCCTAACTCAACTTTCAAAGTTGCTGGGATTACAGATGTGCACACTGTGCTCAGCTGAGTCATTCTTTCTTTTTGTTTTATGTTTTGGGGTGTGTGTTTCTGTGGTACCGGGGATTGAACTCAGGGGCACTCAACCATATCCTAGCCTCATTTTGTATTTTATTTAGAGACAGGGTCTCACTGAGTTACTTAGGGCTTTGCTTTTGCTGAGGCTGGCTCTGAACTTCTGATTCTCCTACCTCAGCCTCCTAAGCCACTGGGATTACAGGCAGTAATTAATTACCATACCTAGCAGCTAAGCCATTCTTAATTCAGTGTTTACATCAAGAATATTTATGATAAAGTTGTTCATTGTTATTTTTGGTCTTACAAACCTCAAAAAAATCTAAATAAAGGTTGCCATATATGAATAACTCCCCTAGTTATTTTTGATAACTAAAACGATAGGAAATATATCCTAAGTGTTTTTGTTTCTCAAATCAAACAAATGATCACAATCTTTCTTTTTTTAAAAAAAAAAACTACTACTATTGCTGGGCATGGTGGCACATGCCTGTAATCCCAGCAGCTTGGGAGGCTGACGTGGGAGGATAAAAGTTCAAAGTCAGCCTCAGCAATTTAGTGTGGCCCTGACTCAAAAAAAAGTTTTAAAAAAGGGCTGGTGATGTGGCTCAGGGGTAAAGTGTTCCTGGGTTCAATCCCAGGTACAAAACAAAAGTAACTATTATTTATTTATTCCCCTATGCATGCCATAAATGTTTGCATACAGATTTTTATATGGACATAATTTTTTAAAACTCATTTGGGTCAAAATGAGTATCCCTACTATGCATTTATACACACATATCCTCTCAACTTCCTATTCTTAAAAAAGTAAATATCAACCTCAGTAAATATCAAAATAACTCAGGTTTAATCAATTATCAGTTGATTTTCAACAAAGGTGTCAATATAACTCAGTGGGTAAAGGATGTTTTCAATGAACAATGCTGGAAAAATTGCATGTCTATAACCATAAAGATGAAGTTAGGGGCTGGGATTGTATCTCAGTTGGTTGAGCGCTTGCCTAGCATGCGTGAGGCAGTGGGTTCAAGCCTCATGGCAACATAAAAAAAAATAAAGATATTGTGTCCATCGACAACTAAAAAAAAAAAAACTAAAAGATGAAGTTAGACTCTGACGTCACACCATACACCAAAACTAATCAAACAGATCACTGACTGAACTCTAAGTGCTGAAAACTATAGCACTTTTAGTTCAAACAAAAACCCTTGTGACTTAAGAGTTCTTAAAAATAATGTCAAGGGGCTGGGGTTGTAGCTCAGCGACAGAGTGCTCACCTAGCACGGGCAAGGCCCTGGGTTCAATCCTCAGCACCATATAAAAATAAATTAATTAATTAAAGATATTGTGTCCAACTACAATTAAAAAATATATATATATTTAAAAACTATCAAAGTCACAAAAGAAAAAAAATTGATAATTTGAACTTCACCCAAATTAAAAACATTTGCACTTCAAAAGACATCATTAAGACAACTAAAAGTCAGCCAAGCACAGTGATGCATCCTCCCAGCAGCTTGGGAGTCTGAGGCAGGAGGATCACAAGTTCAAAGCCAACCTTAGCAAATCAGCAAGCCACTAAGCAACTCAGTGAGACCCTGTCTCTAAATAAAATACAAATGAGGCTGGGGATGTGGCTCAGTGGTCGAGTGCCCCTGAGTTCAATCCCTGAAATGTATTAAAACAAAACAAAACAAAAAAACTAAAAGTCAAACCACAAACTTGGAATATTTGCAAATATCATTTCTGATTATATCCAGGATATGTAAAGAACACTAAAAAGTCCCTAATAAAAAGACAGACAACCCAATTTAAAAATGGGCAAAAGATTGAACAGACATTTCATTAAAGAAGGTACATGAGCTGAGGTACAATAATCACAAGTTCAAGGCCGGTTTGGGCAACTTAGTGAGACTCTATTTCAAAATAAGATTTTTTAAAAAGGACTAGGAACTAGTGGTTCATCTCCAGGGTCATTAAAAAAAAAAAAAAAAATCCTCAGACAGCAAAGTCCCTTATATAAAATGGTATAATATTTGCATATAACTTATGTATACCCCATATACTTTAAATTATCTTTACATGACTTATAATACTACATACAATGTAAAGTAGTTGTTACACCGTATTGTTAAGAAAAAAATGAGAAGAAACAAAGTCTATACATGTTCCGTACAGAGAATTCTTTTTTTTTTTTTCCATTATGAGGCACTTGACCACTGAGTCACATCCCCAGTCCTTTGTTTAAATTTTGAGACAGGTCTCACAAAATTGCTGAGGCTGGCCTCAAATTTGGGAGCCTCCTGCCTTAGCCTCTTCATCACTGGGATTACAGTGCACTCTGTTGGACCAAGCCAGACACAACTTTAAAAAAAATATTTTATTGTTAGTAATTCCCTAGGGCTGAGAGTGAGAATGGAGACTGATGGTAGTCAGGAAGGATCTTTTGGCAGTGATGAAAATTCTAAACTTGGATCGTGGTGATGGTTGCATAATTCTAAATTTATTAAAAACAACTGTATACTTAAAATAGACAAATTTTATGATATGTAAATAATACCACACGGTTTCTTGGTTAAAAACAAAACAAAACCTCATAAAAAAGGCCTCAACTTAAAGTGGTCCCCACTAATCAAAGCTGAGCAATGAGTCAGGTGCAGTAGCACACACACATAATCCCACTGACTTGGGAGGCTCAGACAAAAGGATCATAAGGTCAAGCTCAGGCTCAGCAACTTGGAGATACCCTTTCTCAAAATAAAAAAGGCTTTGAAAGTAGCTCAAAGTAAAATACCCCTGGGGAGGGGAAGGGGGGAATGGAAGGACAGCAGAATAAAACAGACATTATTATTGGTGTGGGTATATACGTGACTGCATGACCAATGTAATTCTGCAACCTGTACACTCAGAAAAATGAGATATTATATCCCATCTGATTCAAATGTATGCTATGTCAAGATCATTATACTGTCATGTGTAACTAATTGAAACAAATTAAAAAAGAGTAAAAAAAAAAAAGTAAAATACCGAGTTTAGCCGTCAGTACCAAAACAAAAACAAGATAGAAAGCTGAGAAATAAGCATGAATAAAGATAATAATAATTATAAATAACGTAAACATATCAAATATCTTTAAATCCATAAATCAATACTAAAAAGCAAAATTAATTGGTCAACACTAAAGGATGCTAATGAACCAACTCACTGTTATGAAAACTGGTAAATGTATAAAAAACTGGTCATAAAATAATCCTTCTATTATTACGATCACATAAACATTATTGACATCTGGGCCACAGAATTACTGTAATTATGTTCTTTTCCTCGTAACTCTTTTCCAGATTTAATAATCATTGTTTTTTGTTTGCTCATTTTTCATGTACTTATCGATTCATCTCCAAATTCTGCATAGTAAGTATAAATTACATTACTACAATTAAAAAAAAATCAGGTATTCTATTCATTCCCAGAATTCTGGGCCTCCTGCTATCTTAACTACTGTTCTGTAAACTTTCCACACTCCAAGTTGCTTTAGAATCCTTGTTCCTTCACCATCAGCCACAATTCCTTTTCTTCAGCCCTTCTCTGGGGATAGGTCGCACTCTCCTCCCCATTTTCTTAGCTTACTCGCATTTCTGTAAGGTACATAATGTTAGTTTCTCAAGAAAGGGAGCATGGGAGGAGATAAAATTTGAGACCTATGGTCTGAAATATTTGCCTTTCCAGTCTCATAATTGATTGGGTACAAAATTTAAGGTGGGAAGCTATTTTTCCTAGATTTTTCAGAGTGTTGTTTTCCGGGCTTTCAAAATTGCTACTGAAAAATCCCTGGCTATTCTGATTCTTGAGGCTTTGAATGAAGTCTGTTTTCTTTCTCTGAAAGCTTCTAGATTTCTTTTTTTATCCCAAGATTTGTACAAATATATTTAATAATGTGAAGAGATGTGGGTTTGGTCTGATTTACTGTGTTAGGCACTGAATGGACTACTTTAGCCTAGAAATCATGTCCTAGAAAAAAAAAATTTAAACTATTTCACTGATCATTTTTTCTCCACAATTATTTTTCTATTCTCTTTTTCTGAAATTCCAATTATTTGGATATTATGCTTCCTGGACTGGTCCACTTAATTTTCTCTTGTGTTCTTTTCTATTTTACATCTCTTTGCTCCACTTAACAAGAAATTTCCAGAACTCAAACTCTTTCTATTCCATATTACACTTCTGCTCTTATTTTTTAACTTCAAAAGGCTATTTCTGTGGTTCTATGAATGTTCTTTTTTAAACAGGTATTTTTATTTGATAGATGAAATGTCTGATCTCTTTGAAATATTAATGCCTGCATTCAAATGTTCTTTTCTCTTTATATTACTCCCATTTACTCTATCCAAATAGCTTTTTCCCTAAATGTTGGCTTTGGTCTTTTTCTTTTAGGTCTAAAGCTTTATTCTGAGGTTGGTGCTATAGCACAGTGGTAGAGCTCATGCTTATGAGCAGGCACAAAGCCCTGGGTTTGATCTGCAGTACAACCAAAAAAATAATAAAACTTTCTTCTTCAAATGTCTGTTGTTTCATATATAACTAATTAAAACACATTTTTAAAAAAAATGTCTGTTGTTGGTTATTAATCTTAAAATTTTTTATATGCTTATTTCTAAAATAAGTTCAACAAACTAGAAATTATTACCCACCCCCTACCTTTTACTGACCCTTCTAGTGATTTCCTCCATCATGGAGAGATTTCTACATTAGAATTATGTGTACTGTGTAAATTGCTAATCAAACTAAAAATTTCTCTGGGATGGAGAATGGGACTTTTTATCATTCCGAATACAAAGCCTAGCACACAATAGGGACTCAATAATTGTTAGTTGAACTGAACTACTAAAGACTAGAATGCCTTATTTCTCACATGTAAAACCCCAGTATTCAAGAGTTGGATATAATCTCAGTTTCCAATTCACACAGAATTTATCCTGACAACATTGGGGGAGAAAAGGACATCAATCATAAAATTTAGACAGTACTTTATCATTTATAGAGGTGTTTTCTAATATCTCAATATTATAGGTACTTAAGCAGCTACTGTTATTCCATTTTACTACTATTACTCAATTAAAAAAAAAATAAGTTACTATATTCAAAATACTTGGCCACATACCTGAAAACTAACCATATCCCAAAATCCATCCAGATCTGCACAGGTAGTTTCCATTTCACCTCGTTTATATTCACAATCATTCACCAGTCCTTCAAATTGTTTGAATCTTTCCTTAATAAGGAGTCTTGTTTGACCAACTGCGGTGCGAATAAGATCTTTAGCTAAAAGAGAAAAGTGTTTTAAACGTTAAAGCACAAAATAGCACTTTTACAGCAAGTCAACCAACTGATAAGACTCCACCCCAAATATTCTAGGGCTTGCAAAATAAAATTTAAAAAAAAAAAAAAAGTTTGTGGTACTGTGGGTTGAACCCAGTGGTGCTTTATCATTGAACTACATCCTCAGATCTTTTTATTTTTTATTTTGAAACAAGGTCTTGGCTAAGTTGCTTGGGACTTGCTAAATTGCTGAGGGTACCCTCCAACTTGAAATCCTTTTGCCTTTGCCTATTTCACTGGGATTACAGGTGTGTACCACTACACCTGGCCAAAATTCTTAAAGCAAAAAAAAAAAAAAAATTTTATCACAAATTTCACCATACGAATACTGAGCATTAACTATTTCCTTTGATTTCTATTAACAACTGGTAATGTTCACTATCATACATATATTACTACATAATAAAAGACATTCTACTTCTTTTTATATTTTACAATATTTCAACCTCAAATAGCTCATTGTACCTAAGTATCTAAGAAGGATTGCATACTGAGAGCCTACATATATTTTTTTTCTTAAACACCTTTACCAAATAAATGAGAAACTTTTCAGAAAAAAACTTTCAATATTAATTTAGGTAACTTTTATTCTGAAAATATTTTTATATAATTTAACAATACCAGATACTGACATCACCTATAAAATCATATAGAAATTTCAAAAAATACACAAAAGTTTTATACTACTTTAGCAGAGAGATACTGGGAAATATAGGTTTAGAAATGAAAAATTCTTGCTATTTTGAATAACAGTGAAACTATAAAGTTGTACAACATCAGATTTTTATGTTTTGGATGGATGTAATTATATTATAAGAAACAAAGATCAGATCATCAAAAAACAAAAGTTTTCTCACCATCATCTGGAATGTCCAATTCAAGCTTCCTGTCCCACTCAAGACAGTGTGAAGTCAATTTGTCAGTTTCTGACTGAAGGATATTTCTAAAATGGTGAGATAGATTTCAGTTTAATGAGTGTTCCCCCATTGGTATCAGTAATAGCATCACAACACTGTGATACATTACATTAGGAAGGTATATAAGATACATACAATATTAATTTTCCAGAGTTGATACCTAATTATTTTAGGAACTTTAACATGTTAAAATCCACAAATGCAAATTAATACTATGTCCATCCTTCTACATCTATCATAGCTAGATGAGGTCAAGAACCCACTTCTTAAGCTAACATTTCTAGTTTGTCTTGTTCTCATTTTTCAGTGTCTAATATTTCTCAATGTTCATTAGATTCTCTGATCTTGTCCATGGAACTAAGGCTAACCCAACTGCCAAGAGTAAACTGAAGCTAAAAACTGTAAATAAATCTATGATTAAAGTGATATGACCTTACAGAATTTAATTATTTGGCTTTGTTTATTTATGGGCAATGGTTCTCAACTAGGGTTGTTAACTTTGCTCCCCAGTGGACATTTGGTGATGTTTGCAGATATTTTTAGTTGTCACTACTGGTTAGGGACACTACAAAACATCCTACAATACACTAAATGGAATCCCCACAATAAGTACACAAACTACAACTGAAAAGCATACAAGGTACAAGGAACCATTTTATGTTCTCATTGACAGTAAACAGTTTCAGTTTCTCAACATGCTAGAATGCTTTTTATATAGAAAGAGACTGAATTTTCCTTAGGCTTGCGTTTCTCAACCTTAGCAATTAACATATTAGATTATATAGTTCTTGTTGTGGGGGTCCACCTGGTTCATCATAGGATGTTTTATAGTATCCCTAGCCAGAAGTATTTATGTGACATACTTAGCATAGTTGAAATCATACAAACTAGAATAGTTTGCCAAAGGTTGTGAGGAGGGAGAAATAGAAATTTGCTATTTAATGAGTGTAGTTTCAGTTTTACAAGATGAAAGACATTATGGCGATGGATGGTGGCTATGGCTCTACAATATTATGAATGTACTTATTAATACTAGTGAAATGAACTGTATACTCAAAATGAAGATAGCAAATTTCAAGTTATCTATATTTTATCACAATAAAAAATGGAGAAAATTATCTCCTCAAATTCAAGAGATTAAACAAAACAACAACAAAACCCAAAGCATCCTAGTAAGAAAAACAGGATAGTTTTTTCTTTCTTTTTTTCTCAGAAGTGCTAGGGATGAAACCCAGGGCCTACACATGGTAGGCAAGGGCTCTACCACTGAGCTACATCCCAAGTTCAAGTTTGTTTCCTGAAAGAAAAATTTAATAACTCACATTCAATGGTAATACACAGACTGACAGAATTAATGAGCAAAGAGACCTGGTTCAGCTCTGATATTATCTAGTTGGGTGAACTGCTTAACACTTCAATGACTCAGTCTCACAAACAATACACTAGCTAATTTCTAAAATCCCTTGAAATTCTAAAATTTATGCTCTCAAAAATAATTGAAGTGGCTCTCAAATACACACAAAATATAATAAAACAAATAAATATTAAAATGATAAAATTTCTCATCTACATGATTGGCAAAACTAAAAAAAATGCTAGTTAGATATTGGAAAAAGTGGAAACAAACAAACAAACAAACAAAAAACACAGGAATTCTAATTAATCTTACTTAAGGGACTAGAAATTGAGGTCATTATTTGCATATGTGAATAAAAAAGCACATAGGTTGTTCTTTGTAGCCCTGACTATAATAATGACAAACAAAACCCAATGTTAATGCTTAACAACAGGGTCCTATTAAATAACTTGTGGTGTATCCACACAATTAGATACTATGCAATCATTACAACACAAACCCAGCCAGGTGTAATGGTGCACGCCTATAATCCCAGAGGCTCAGGAGGCTGAGACAAAAGGGTTGCAAGTTCAAAGCCAGCCTCATAAACAACAAGGTACTAAGCACTCTGTGAGACCCTGTCTCTAAATAAAATACAAAATAGGGCTGGGGATATGGTTCAGTGGTCGAGTGTCCCTGAGTTCAATCGACAGTAACCTCCCCCCAAAAAGAACACACAAATCTGCATGTGCATACACACAAGGTACGAAAGCTCTTTTAAGTACTAAAATGGAATGTCTTCAACATTTAACATTAAATGAAAATGGGATAGTTTGTATTATACACTACTGCTCATAATTTAAAGAAAAAAATTCTATATTTGTCTACATATGCATTATCTATCTCTGGAAGTTTTCACAAGGAATGAATGATACCCACTTCCATGGAGGTTCAAACTATGGGGTTGGGAGATAGTACTGGAAAGGAATCTTTTCACTTATACCCTTTGCACTGCCTACCCTTTGAACTAGCAACCAAATGAATATACTAGCTATTGAAAAAATAATTAGAATGTAAAAATATGTAAAATTCACCCCACTAACATACTATGTTAAATATACACAAAACTAAATATTTGAGTTTTAAATGATTAGATATTTTTTAAAAAAATTTTTAGTTACTGTTGGACACAATATCTTTATTTTATTTATTTATTTTTATGTGATGCTGAGGATTGAACCCAGTGCCTCGCATGTGCTAGGCAAGCGTTCTTCCGCTGAGCCACAACCCCAGCCAGTAAATGAATAAAGAGACAAACCTGAAATAAGGTACATCGTGTGTTGGCTGAGACTTTTGACCTTCATTTAATTCAAGTGATGGGACATCCTTAATTGAAAGGCCATTTGAATTCTTAGTAGTAGCTTCATTTTGATTTACGTTATGTTCTAAAAATTAAAGAAAATATTACATACAAATTTCAAAATAGCAATTCTTAAAATGACACAAAAAGGCATTTTTTAAAAATTTCAATTTTTTTCAATTTTTTTAAATGTTGAATTTTATTTCTGCCTCAATTGTTTCATTCACCTATTCTCTAATGTGGTGCTCAAGAGATTTTTCATCTCTTCAAATTTACACTTACTTCCTGTCTGTATTTTTATTATAAATTTCTCTCCAAATGTCTTCATTCATACTCTCCCTTTTATTTATTTACTTTTGGAACCTGAGGTCATATCTCTGAGCTATACGAAAGAAATGAACTCTAAACAAAGCTGATAAATCATAATCTAAAAAAGTAAGTAAAAATTTAGTTAAATACTATACCTTGATTTGAAACTGTTAGAGAACCCAGAGGACACTGTAATTTATTTGAATTTTGCTGTACTGTCTTGGTAGAGTAAGTTTTACATGTTGGGGTCAAGATTTCATTTGTTGCTTCTTGAGTCTTATCACTAAAAACAACAGCAAAAATATACTTCGTGAAACATTAACTCCATGTATCTTATTAAGGGATTTCAGAATTCTATTTATTTTTTAAAACCTGGGAGTCAAATAACAATGTTCCCATTTTTAAAAAGTAAGTTTATCCTGGAGGGAAAAAAAAAACTTAAGTACATATAATGGGAATGTCCATCTGTATCAATTCTAATGATATTCAAAGACTCTGAAGATCTCTTAATAGAAGATAAGCATTTAATAGTCTTTAATGCTGTTGAGTAGTTTCTAGTATATTTGCTGCCAAACAATATTACCTTTTCTTTTAAAAGGAGTCTAACTGATCCCCCCAAACTATGCAATTAATTTTTTTAGAGCTAATATTTTAAAGGAACTTGCATCAGAAACAAAACAAAAAATCTGAATTATGGCAGTTTTCCTCTTGTAAAAAAATTTACTTCTGTTCTATTGGGAGTGATAGCACATGCCTACAATCCCAGTTACTTGGGAGGCTCAGGAAAGAGGATCTCAAGTTCAAGGCCAGCCTGGGCAACTTAGTGAAACCGTGTCTCAAAATAAAATAAAAAGACCTGAAAATGTAGCTCAGTGGTAGAGCACTTTCTTAGCATGTACAAGATCTTGGGTTCAATCCCAGTACCGGCGGGATGTGTATGTATGTGTGTGTGTGTGTGTGTATGTATGTGTGTGTGTGTGTGTGTATATATATATTCTGTGTTTATATATATGTACAAACATATATTGAGAGAGATCTGTATTTCTCTGTATAAATACAAATTTTTAAGTGTTATAATTAAGTCACTTATTAAGAGTAAATGAAACCTACAAATTGAAGAGTAAAAATAATAAAAATGCATAGGAAATGCTAAATTTACAAAAGCATTATTTTTACCCTTCTAAATAATATATTTTTTTTAAAATATTTATTCTTAAGCTTTAGGTGGATACAATATCTTTATTTTACATTTATGTGGTGCTGAGGATCGAATCCGGTGTCTTGTGCATTCTAGGTGAGCACTCTACCACTGAGCCACAACCCCAGCCCTTTTGTTTTCTTTTTTAGTTGTAGATGGACACAATACCTTTATTTTATTTATTTATTTTTATGTGGTGCTGAGGATCAAACCCAGTGCCATACTAGGCAAGCTCTCTACCACTGAGCTACAACCTCAACCTTGAATAATGTCTATAAAAAAAACACATCCTCATCATTTATAATTAGCATATTTCACTAACTTAAATAATATAGGAAAACATAGGCCAAATCTAAAAAAGGCATTTGTTACCACCCCTCTGGGCAAAGGTTTCATTAAGATTTTACAAGTGTGTTTATATATATATGTTTTTTCTTTAAGATTTATATTCTTACCCTTCTGATTTTAAAGGGTTCCAGGTATAACTGGGTGTCAAGAAAGCATCGGCACTTGTGGGAGTCATGAGTGTTACTTGATAGGTCTTCAAACCATCCAGTGGATGAAACATAAAATCATTAGGTGCAAAAGAAGTTTTTGCTTTGGTTTTTGCAGGATTTTTCTTAGGTAAGTTTTCCATTTTTGATAAGATTTTATCTGGATCCATTCTATTTGTTGCACTGGTTTCTGAATCCAAAGTATTTTCTTCATTATCAAGTTTAAAAGAAACAACCTAGATATAAGTAAATGGAACAGAATGAGAATTTCTCTTCCTGGGATACATTCAACCAATTTTTACAGGATTGAAAAATGTGACAATTGAGCTCTATGTTCCCTATATATAATTTGAAAGGAAAAAAATACAATTAAAATATATATAGGGAATTAGAGGACCAGCTACATTAAACCCCTATGATCCTGGAAGAGAGAGAACCAATTCTTATTAAAAAAGCATATAACACTCTGTAGGCATTACAAGAAAATAAAATATATATGAAAGTTGAAGATGGAAAAAATTACTCAACTAACAAATACACTTTTTACTTAAATTACGTGGATAATCACAATTAGTTTGAGAATCAGAAATTTAGTATTAGATGACTGCTATTGTTAAGGACCAAATTCTTTTAAAAACTAATCTTAGATGTAAGTAACCGCTTGATAAGAACAATACTTTTCAATATGACACAGTAAGATATACCATATAAAATATCAAACATATTTTTAAACATAAGTTTTAGGTTTCTAAGTTTCTGGGAATGCTTGTGATTTTTAATGAGATCTGAACTCAAAATAAGGTATTTCAACCTGGACAAACATTTAAGTGGTAACATTACCCTGAAGGGTGGAGCGTCAGTGAAAGTAAAAACTTGTGATAAATCTTTAAGGGGAAAATAAATCCAAGGGAAGAGCTTGAAAGATTGTAAAGATTCATCCCATAGTGCTTTTCTTAAAATATCTACATGTGATTTTTAGTAAGAATATAAACAGATTTCTTATTCTTGAACAAAACATTTTTTTTAAAGATGGAATTGTAAAATGGATTATAAACCAAGAGATTAAGCCCTCTATAGTGCCTTTTTTAAAAAACTAATTAATAAATAAATTAAAAAAAATAATAATGCCTCTTTTTGTGGGGAGGGTACTGGGAATTTAACCCAGGGGCAATTTACCACTAAGCTACATTCCAAGTCCCTTTTAAATCTTTTATTTTAAGTTGCTTATTAGGACCTTGCAAAATTGCTGAGGCTGACCCTGAATTTGCAATCCTTCTCCATCAGCCTCCTGAGCTAATGGGATTACAGGCTTGTGCCACACAGCCATATGCTTCTTTTTTTATTATCAATTTATTAAACTCTATGCTAGATACCATCAGAAATTTTAGCTTATTTAATTCTTAAAACTGGACTATGGGGCTGGGGATGTGGCTCAAGCGGTAGCGCGCTCGCCTGGCATGCGTGCGGCCCGGGTTCGATCCTCAGCACCACATACACACAAAGATGTTGTGTCCACCGAAAATTAAACAATAAAAATAAATTTAAAAAATTATTTAAAAAAAAAAAAACTGGACTATGTAGGTATTCTATGTTAGAGATGGAAAAACAAACTCAAATTGTATAACTTTCCCAAAGATATGCAGCTAATTGGAAGCCGAGACAATAAACAAACTCAGGTCTAACTGAATACAAAGTAAATACATTTCACCTTTCTCCAACTTATCTCTTAGCTAGTTCTCATATAATGGCTTTTCAGCTGTTTTTATTATTTTTTCCATAATCTTTTGGTTAACCAAATTATACTTCCTTTACCTACAAAGCTCTGAGAATAAGACACCTGAAAAAACAACAATAGTAAATTCTCATAATTCTTTATGGTTCAAGAGGCTTTAACACACATGTAGGTTAACCTCTTGAAGCAGCTCTATATGTGTAATTTCAACTTTATGAAAGTAGCAAGAGATTTTCAGAGCATCTAGAGATAAACAGATGTTTATTCTCTACCTTGTCAGGTTTTGTTTCTGTCTTTTTCACAGGTCTTCCTTTATTTGGTGCCTTTTTTTCAGGTTCATTATCTACAATAAAAATGAAATTAGATATAAATTTTGGCTGATAAAAAATGCTGTATTAAAGCTACTAAGGTAATCTGGGAAAGAGAAAAAAAAGGTGACAATACAAATGCATGTCTTGATGGATTTTTTATGATTAAAAGTCACATGATAAAAAGAAATAAAAATAAATGAAATTTCCTGCCAAATACAGGCCATCTGTTTCAAAACAAAACAAATGTGTTTTATCTTTTACTTTTTCCTCTGAATAAAAAATGCATCTTATAGACAGGTAACAAAGAAAAACACCAAGAACCACCACCAAAAATAAATGAATCACTCAAGATTCCATTACTGAATTGACACTTTAGCATGTTATTCAATTTTTCCTATGTCCACATGTTCATGTATTATTTTTCAGAGTAGTGACACTACTGTTTCATCTGTTTTTTTCCCCATACTTTTTTGGGGGGGACGGTGGGGGGGGGGCCTGGGGACCAAACCTAGGGTCTTGTGCATTTGAGGCAAGCACTCTACCAACTGAGCTATATCCACAGCCCTAACCTGTTTTTTTCTTTGCCCACTTAGTGTATCATTAACCGTGTCATTAAATATACTTTAACAGCATCTACATTGTATTTCAACAAATGGATAAAGTGGGATTTATCTAGGCCATTAAGTATTCACTTCAGAGCACTGATTATACTAACTCAGGTGCTTCAACATTCCAGTTCTCGCTGTGTGCTAACTGAATGTCAGGACACAGACTCTGCTTTCCCAATTGAATTTTCCATTTCTCTCTTTCCTACTCAAAAAGTACATGCTGGTTTTAAAATTTAAACCCAATAATAACCTCAAGGGACAAAACATTCTGGTTAAGTCACTGATCAAAAAATAGTTCTTACCATTAGTGGCTCTTGTGACAGGCTTTCTTATAGTGTTAGTTGAGACTGTTCTTACAATCTGCGTTGTTGTTTGAGTAGCAGATCGGGTCATTCTCACTGATGTGGGCATAACAGGCCGCACAACTGCAAGGGGAAGATAATCTAATCAAATGTTCTTTGTATTAATAAGTTATTACTGTGATAACACCAGTAATTGTTAATATTCCTACCTTTTTTCTCTTTGTCCAATACTTTCTTTTCTGCAATTTGTTTTTGAACAGGTCGGATGGCTCGAACATCAATCCCATTCTCAATCTATTTAAGAAATTAGGTACTATGTGATTTAACTGCATAATGAATCAAACTATGACAATTTTAAATTGTAAAATGATCCCTCAATTGAATCCTGACAATTATAAATTACCCAGCAAAAAAATCTATTAACCTAAATAAAATTAAAGGAAGAAAAGTTTTCAATTATAAATATTTCCTTATATCCTTTTTTTAGAGTCCTAGAATTAAGCACTGACAACACAGCTAATTATAGCCACCTGATGGTCCTTGAACTCAACAGGAATACTTTCATTTTGAGAGCCTTGAATTTTGCCTAGAAAACTCTTCTTTTGGATAGAGAACTCTTTCCCATGATTCACTTCCTTAAAGACCCCACTCAAAATGCCACCATTTCAGTTGGCCTCTCCCTGATTGCCCCAATCAAAATTCTACCCAACACATACTTCTGGTATTCCCTAACTCCCTTCTTCTAAAATTTCCTCCATAATACTTATAATCATTATTATTTTTATATATATATATATATATATACACATACACACATACATATATAAATTTTTAAATTGCCAGTCTGATATGTAAGTTCCATGAAGCCAGAGAATTTTGTTCTTTATGTATCCCATAGACTAGAAAAGTGCTAGGATTGTGGTAGTGACCCAAAATCTACCAAACACATGAAAACTTAGCTTTCTGACCAGATAAAAGTCATACTATCCCTCTTTGACCACTCCATTTTCTTAGAAACCATAATACTCATCTGCTATGTGCTTTTCATAGGACATGTTTTCAGCTATTTACATTTCATGCAGGTAACTTGGAATATATAATACGAGTTCAGTAAATAAAGATGGCGACACAAAGTTTGGCATGGATCTATTATCAATTGTACCTTAGTTTGTTCAATTTGGTCTTTGGCCTTTGATCTTGTAATCCGTCCAGAATATGGAATAGCCTTTAACAGTCAAATGAAAATCCAGTTTAAAAAAAAAAAAAAAAAAAACATAAAATGAATTGGCAAAAGCTTACTTTCATGTCTCATTATGAAACAAAATTCCCAGTTTAATATTAAATTTTATCTTCAATTATTTATGGCAAAAGATACTTACTAAAAATTCCTACCTTTCTTCTGGTTCTGTCTGGATTTAAGTTATTTTTTAATTTTTTGTTACCAGGGATTGAACACAGGGGTGCTTAACCACTTAGACCCCAGCCCTTTTTATAATTTTATTTAGAGACAGGGCCTCACTAAGTTGCTAAGACTAGCTTTGAACTTGGCGATCCTCCTGCCTTAGCCTCCTCAGTCGCTGGGATTATAGGTGTGCGCCACCATGCCCTACTGGATTTAAATTTAATAGCTTCAAAACTTACTCATATTTCTCCATTAGGGAAAAGAAACTTCAAACCATATTTTCCCTGTACTAGAATCCTCATTAATATGATAAGTTAGACATATTTGGGAAGAGGGTAATAAGCAGACTTGAGTATTAGGATCTTTCATTTTCTGTTTATAAAAAGAGATTCTCAGGGCTGGAATGTGGCTCAAAGCACTTGCCTCACATTCTCAAAGCCCTGGGTTCAATCCCCATTCCAAAAAGGAAAAAAAGAGATAAATGAATACCAGCAAAAAGAAAAAAAAGGAAATAAAAAACTTAAAAAATTTCCACTTAAATTATTAAAACTTTTTTAGTTTTAATAACTTTGCTTTCATATCTTGAAGAAAAAACCTAACAGGAGAAAGACTAGGGTAGTAAGTTATTTGTCAACTCTAAAATTCTTTTAAGAAGCGTAATTATAGATTTCTCTAGATGAGATGCCATTTTGTATCTCCAAATCTTAGTAAAAACTTAGTGCTATAGAAATAGGATTGCTGGACATGGTGGAGCATGCATGTAATGCCAGAGGCTCGAGAGGCTGAGGCAGGATTGTGAGTTCAAAGCCAGTCTCAGCAAAAGCAGGACACTAAGCAACTCAGTGAGACTGTCTCTAAATAAAATACAAAATAGGGCTAGCTACTAGTGAATTTTGCTATTTAACACAGTGATGGGCCTCTTTTTCCCCCTCTACCTATAACACTATTTAAATAGTTATTTACAATTTGGACCAATGACTGACATCCTACATATTCTGGGAAAGCCACCTTAAATATAACCCCTCCCAAGAGGTCTTTGATGTTCTTGCAAACAGAAATAATCTCTCCCTCCTCTAACATACAAAGAATAGATTTAGTTTTATCTTTCCAACTTGAACTACAGCCATTAATTTTAGTCTCTTCCTTATTGTTCTAAGATCATGCTATATACAGAGTAAATAATCAAAGATCTGCCAAGTCAATCAATGAGATTCACAAGGCCCAGAAAAGTAGGCAATATTTTAGGTCTTTATATCATTCCATTCTTATTTAAATTTGGAACTCATATACAATGACATCTTGGAAACACATTATTTAAAATGAGATCTGTGTTATATACTTTTAGAATAGCCAGTAGGTCAGAAGAATTAAAGTTTTCCTGGGGTGCAGCAACTCAAAGAGTTGAGACAGAAGGACTGCCAAGTTTAAGACCAGCCTCAGTATCTTGGTGATCTCAAAAATAAAAAATCCAACGGCCTCCTCTATCTTCTATCCTATTTTAGTTTTCCTGCCACCCTGACAAGTCTTTTCACCCTGGTGTTTGACTTCTGCTCACCTGAGGGTGCTCTTTAAAAAAAAATAATAATTTTACATATCTTTATTGAAGGGATTTCATTTAATCCTATAGTTAAACCACACCTATATCCTCAATGTTATATCCTAAGTCCATATCTTAGCACCAATCTCCATTCTGTTTTCAAAATTTTTATTCCCAACTGTCTATATAGGTCGCCCAAATAAGTTAAAAAAAAAGTTCACAAACGTGTACCCATGTAAGCTTGTTACTTCTGTCTTCCTCATCTCTTTGGCAGTATGGCATAATTTGTACATTTGTTGAAACTAATAATTCCAGAATCATCTGTCTCTGACTCTTTATTAATTCCTTCAACCCTTATCATTTACTTGGCCACCAGTCCTGTCAAATATATCTTACACCAGTTTCCCTTTTAAACCCACTGCCCCAGACAACTTATCCCATCGATTCTGCTGTAATAGTCTCACAAATTATCTTCTTATCCATAAATGCTTTCCTTTCTAGACTGTAATTTTTAAGGCCAGGGTAGACTTTCTGAATTATTAACTTGATGATGGCCCTACCTCATTTATAAATCTCCCCTGACTTTCCATAACTTACTTACAAGATAAATGCCAAATCCTTTGGCACAATATTGTTTGGCCTGGCTGAACCAGATTTCCTAGTCTATCCTCTCTCCATTTATATATCAAGGAATCTGATTTTCTTTTCTTTTTGTTTGTGGTGCTGGGGTTTGAACCCAGGGTGTTCTACCATTGAACCATATCCATATCCCTTTTATTTATTTTGAGACAGTATCTCACTAAGATGCTGAGGCTAGTCTTCAACTTGCAATCCTTCTGTCTCAACTTTTTGAGTTGCTGCACCCCAAGAAGCCTGATTTTCATTCTTCTGAGCTACTGTTATGTCATTCCCACCTTCTACCAATTAGTTAATCAATTAAATTAATAAGAGGACTAAAAGAAAAGGCATTGGTCATTTTGTTTCTTAAAGAAAGTTCCAGATAAAAGGAACTATTCTTCTTTATCAAGTTAAGATCATTAATTTACCTTTTTTGGCTCAGTTTTCATAGCATTCTGATTTGATAAAAGAAAGGAAGGTGCTTCAGGTCTATAAAGACCCATTTTAAATATTCCTCGTTTAGCTTTCTCTCTCTGTTCTTTTAATTTTTGAAGTTGCTTTTCTTCTTTGTATTTTTGAAGCATTTGTTTTCTTTCTTCACTTAGGACAGTTTTCAATGACTCTAAGCACGAAAAAAAAATCAAAACACAATATATAAAACATTTCAAATAAAAAAGTTACAGAAAATGTTTAAAAATCATTTTGTCTAACTGCTTCAAGAAACGCTTCTAATAATTTATTCCTTAATATTCTAACTTGTTGAGAGCCACAGCAGAGTTGGGATGGCGCCAGAAGGAGTGGTTGAGAGGTGACACCAGCGAGCCATTAAGATGGGTTCCCGGGGGAGTTCTCCTGGAGCCCTGTTGAGGGCGGAGAGAGTTCCCGGGGACAGCACGTGGAGTACAATAAAGTAGTTCCTGTTTGAACCTACAAGTGCCTCATGGCGGCTAGGTTATTTGTGCCCAGCCAGACTGTGGCACTAACTAAAAGTTATTTTAACCCCTAGTCTTTTCAAAATTACTGTTCCTGTGTGTGCCTTCACTTGTTCAAATATTAATGGCTTGCTATATGTACCAGGCATGTGTTTTGTTTTGAACCCCGGGTGCTTTACCACTGAGCTATATCCCTAGCCCTTCTGCCCTTCTTTTATTTTGAGACAGTCTTGCTACATTGCTAAAGCTGATCTTGAACTTTCCATCCTCTTGCCTCAGCCTCCCTAGTTGCTGGGATTTTAGGCATGTACCAAAGTGTCCAGAGTTATTACTTCAATTTTAAATTAATTAACTTATAAGATAATCTTCTAAAGACCCACAGTATTGAATGTCATACACTCCATATTTGTATACCATATTTGCTTTCTTGGATTTTTTACTAACTCCTCTAGCCTCCATTTTTTTTTTTCATTTATGTATTTAATTTTATTTTACAGTACTGGGGATTGAACACAGGGTCTTGCACATGCTATGCAAGCGCTTCATTACTGAGCTATATCCTAAGCTCTTTTTACTTATTTTAAGGCATGATCTTGCTACATTGCCCAGGTGATTTCAAACATGAGACCTTCCAGCCTCAGCCTTGTTAGTATAGTACACTATCACATCAGCTCCTCCATGCTTTCCTATAAACTAGAAATTATATCTAAGGGTTTAACTTCATTTGGTGCTATTCCTCAGTTCTTTGCTTGTTTCCTCATGTCCTTGCCCCCTAAATGTTGAAGTGTCCAACCCTTTTCTCTCCTTTTTCCACTCACAACTCTGGATAATCACATCCAGTCTTACAATTTCAACCACCATATAAATTCAGGAGTTCCTGAAGTTATTAGTTATATCTCTAATTCAGACTTTCCCCCTAACTCATCTTGTGTATTTAATTACCTTTTCATCATCTCCTCTTACATGTCTAATAGGCATCACAAATTTAACATGGCTAAAATTGAACTCTTAATTTTACCACACCCTTTAAAAATTATTCCTAAGTATTTTGTAACTTTGCAAATAGCCAGTCCACTTTTTACTTATTCTCAGACAAAAAAAAAATGTTTGGTTCTTTCAAGGTCTTCCCATATCATTCTATGCCCATATTTTCATTTCCTTTCAATTCCAAAGGGATGGTATTCTTTTCTCTCTCCCCCAGACTACTAGCTCATTTCCTCTGACCTTCAAACAGCACTGATGATATCATGTTAAAAATAAAAACAGAAGAACCCCACAACAGTTTTTATCCAATTCTTTTTTCCTTACTTTTCTTCAGAATCACAAAAATGATATATCTGGAAGAAATGTTTTAGGCCAATGTCACCCTTTGCAGAATCAATTAAGTGTCATATATGTTTCATACTGGTCCTGGAAATTGAAAAATCCGAAGTAATTAACAGTTAAACAATTGACACCTCATTTTCTTTCTCTATAAAACTTCTAAGAAGACTATCTTCTTTTAAATTCTCCATTTACCCTGGCTTTATCTTACTGCCATCTAAACAATAAAATAGAACTCCAATGCCTCCTGGCTAAATGAAAAATCATTTCTTATTCTTCCTCCTTCCCTATAAACCCCTTGCCTTCTAAGACACTATATTTTCATCATTTTTTATCTTTCCTGAGATTACTTTTCTTTAGTTTGTCTTGTCTAATGGCCCCAAATCATTTTGGGCAAACTGTAAGGATGAATTTTTTTTTTTTTAATATTCATTTTCTGGGGCTGGGGATGTGGCTCAAGCGGTAGCGCGCTCGCCTGGCATGCGTGCGGCCCGGGTTCGATCCTCAGCACTACATACAAACAAAGATATTGTGTCCGCCGAAAACTAAAACAATAAATATTAAAAATTCTCTCTCAAAAAAATATTCATTTTCTAGTTGTAATTGAACACATTACCTTCTTCTTCTTTTTTTTTAAAATGTGGTGCTGAGGATCGAACTCAGGGCCTTGCACATGCTAGGCCAGCACTCTACTGCTGAGCCACAACCCCAGCCCCAGGGTGAATTCTTTGCCCTTTTCTTGCTCTGTTTGAGTTATCCTTTAATTTTTTTCCATATCTTAATTAGTACATTATATATGAAAAGTGTTGTGACATATTCATACATGCACAAAAATTAATATAGTCAATATCATTCACCAGTATATCTCCTTTTTCCCTCTCTTCCTCTCTCTCGCTGGTTACTTTACTATACCGGTCTTTCTTCTATTTTCATGAGATTCCCCACTCTCTAGCTTCCACATGAGAGAAAAGGAAACACATGATCCTGGACTTTCTGAGTTTGACTTATTTCACTTAACATAATGCTCAAGTTCTATCCATTTTCCTGCAAATGAGATAATTTCATTCTTCATATTGAATAAAACTCCATTATGTATACTTATATTTCATTTATCTATTCATTCATTGACAGACACCTATTGGTTGGTTCTATAATCTGACTACTGTGAATTGTGCTGTTATATACACATATTGAAATATGTATATACATATGTATATGTATACACATACACACCACACACACACCCATAAACTTTAATTCTTTAGGATAAATACCCAGGAGTGATGTTTTCTTATTGTTATTTCACAGGTTTTTTTACCCATTCTATTTTTATGTTTCTTATTAACCTTGTCATTACTTATCTTATCTAAGTTCCAGAAGTTAAGAACTTTAGGTTTCCTACAAGGTAATATAGATAATAAAATGCTATCGTACCTCCATAGGAAAATGGCTTTAGCCTAGCTAGGGACATTTATGGCCTTTAATTTAAATGGCTAGGACTTAGTTGTAGAAAACACCAAGTTATTTAGAATATTTCAAAGCTCCACTCTTTTGACCATTTAAAAAAAATTTGTTTTTGGCTAGTTTTGTTTTGTTCTTTTTGTTTTACTCACAGGCATTAAATCAACTTTTATTCACTCTTAAAAATACTTAAGCCAGGCGTGGTGGCACACAAGTAATCCCAGTGGCTGGGGAGGCTGAGACAGGAGGATTACAAGTTCAAAGCCAGCCTTAGCAAGACCTTGTCTCTAAATAATATACAAAAATGGCTGGGGATGTGGCTCAGTAGCTAAGTGCCCCTGGGTTCAATCCCTGGTACTCCCCCCACCCCACCTCCCCCCCACCCAAATACTTAAAACTACAACAGAACTTTACTTACTTGGCTTGGTACTGGCCTTTTCTGGAACAAGCTCTTGCAATGTCTCATCTAATTCAACATCTTTCAAACCAATGTGTCTATTTCGTTGGTATTTCTTATGTCTGTTTTCTTTTTGAGACAGTGATTTCCTATGAGCAATTTTAGTTCTAATCATTTCAGTACTTAAATCCTTTCTGTGATGACTGGCAAAACGTGATGAAGACATACTGTCAGGGAAAAGAGAAATAGAAACCAACATGAATTTTCTTTTCTTTTTTTTTTTTAAGAGAGAGAGAGAGAATTTTTTAATATTTATTTTTCAGTTATCGGCGGACTCAACATCTTTGTTTGTATGTGGTGCTGAGGATCGAACCCGGGCCGCACGCATGCCAGGCGAGCGCGCTACAGCTTGAGCCACATCCCCAGCCCCCAACATGAATTTTCATTTAGATATTTTTAAAAATTAAGATTCCAGTTCATCTTCCCTCCCACTTCAGAACTATTTGGAATAAAACTATTAAATGCATAATGGAATACCTATGTGACAATGAAGAATAGAAAAGAGATTATCAAGAGACAAGACGCTACAACTTATTTTGGAGTTCTAAATAGGAACCTGTTTGATAGATGAAGTGAAGCCCAGGAAAACTATAGTCTACTGAATATAGATAGACAAGAGGCTCCAGAATTGCCATAAAGAACACTGAAATAGAAGCGTGCAAGTAAAGGTGAAAACAGGGAACATACAGGACTGTATATAGAACAGTTTCCTTAACTTTCCCTGTGTTACCAGGCAACACTATTACCACCTCCTCTAGCTGCTTCTCCCCAGTTTGATTAAACTGCATAAAATTCATTTTTTCTTTTTCCATTTTGTATGTGTCTCTTATGCCTGTGGACACTGTATCCAGCCAGAGGGGATCCAGGCAGGATCCCTAGGGGATGCTGCCAGTAACACCCTGGTGATGAATAGCCTGGCGTTTCTTCTCACTTCAAAACAACACAACACACACACACACACACACACACACACACACACACACACCAGATGCCTATTAGACTTGTCCAAAAATAGGCAGATGGATTTTTAAACTGGGAAAAGAAAGGTTTTTCAGGAATAATTACCATAGTGATGCAGAAAGATAACATCAGTTTGCCCCACTATTTTTTTAGCATATATATTTTTTAGTTGTAGATGGACACAATACATTTTATTTATTTATTTTTATGCCATTGAGCCACAATCCCAGCCCTTGCCCCATTTTTTTTTATCCAAGCAAGAAAACACATAGTTTACTTGGTACACACCCTTTTCTTTAGAAAGATTTTTTGAGAATGTATTAAAGAAAAACAAGAAAGTCAATAAAGACAGTGTCATAAGTTCTAACAGTGACTCCAAATGAGAATAATAAAGGATAGTGGAAAGTTTAAGGGGGTCACTTATGCACCTGATATTTCAAGAAAACTACAAAGCTAGAGAGAAGACTTGTTCTCCAGAATAAAAGTCTTGACAGTTTAAAAGAAGGTAAGAAGGTCCCCTCTGTGATTAGAAGGTTTAAAAAGTTATGGGCACCATGAATATATAGAAGTACTCCCTTTCTACCATCATATTCTCACAAGGTACTGCTAAGTTTCTGTTATTGTTTTTTGTAGTGCTGGGGATTGAACCCAGGGCTTCGTGCTTGTCAATCTACTACTGAGCTTAAGTCCCCAGACCTCTCAATACATGTCTCATGTCGGTCAGGCAAGCAATCAATTTGCAGGGGACTCCAGCTGGATGCACTCTAATTCAATACAATTCTGATTCTATCTACCTGAAGACAACATCAGATCCTTCAGGTTAAGGGCTCAGTCCTACAAGACTGCCCCCATATCCCATGTCAAATTGTTTTACCTGTGCTGACTGACTGACTAGCTATATATCAGGGTTTCCACAACCCCTGTTTTCAGGTTGCAATTATTTGCTAAAGCAGCTCACAGATCTCAGAGAAGCATTTAATTTACATATACTGGTTTATTCCAAAGGTTATAGCAAAAGATAAAGATGAAGAGATACACATTTCTAAGCTGTCTTCAAGCGCATTGCCCTCCATGAACCTTCACATTTCTACTTGAAAGTTCTTAAAAACACGATTTTTTCTTTTTGGGTAGATGGACACAATACTATGCGTTTATTTTTATGTGGGGCTGAGGATCTAACCGGGTCCGCCCATGCTAGGCGAGCGCTCTACTGCTGAGCCACAATTCCAGCCCCTAAAAACACGATTTTAAGCAATTACAAGAGCATAATTAGCATCCCACTTGGATACTAGTAACATTCTCCTTGAAGAGCCCAGGAAAAGTGACATGGGCTATGCTTTTCATGAAGAAGTCTCCTCTAATATGTGATTTGTTACTATTATGTGATTTGCTAAATAGTAAAAGTTAAAACTTGTTATTAGTTACTTTAAAAGACTATCTAGGGGCTGGGGTTGTGGCTCAGTGGTAAAGCAATTGCCTCCCATGCATGAGCCACTGGGATCTATCCTCAGCATCAAATAAAAATAAACAAACAAACAAAACATATTGTGTCCACCTACAACCAAAAAAATATTTTTCAAAAAGACTATCTAACATTAAAGGTATATTTGTCACAATAACCCTACAAAGTAGTTTAGTATTATTACCATTGTACAGATAAGGTAAATTAACTTCCCACATTAATACAGCTAAAAGATGGTCTATCCCAAGTCAGGCAGCCTGCCTTTCACACACATCTTAAATTTTCTTTGGCTGCCTGGAGTTTCTTCCAACTTAAAAGTCTAGAATGCGTTAGTCTGGCGTGCCAGAGGTTCTCAGCTGGGAGTTTTTAGTCGTCAAAAGATCTGGGAGGAGCTCCTGGAATGTTCAACGTCCCGCATCGTGGAGCACTGTGCTACCTCAAAAGCCAATTACATCCCACTGGTAAAACGCTGACTGCTCTATAAACCACGGCAACAAACATTTACACTTTGGGAGGATCCTGCCATCAGCTTCGGGAGGCAATCCGGTCCCTGAGAGCCCTCCCCCGAGCGGCGACCGACAGATCTCAGAGAAGCATTTAATTTACATATACTGTCCCACTCCTCAGATCGTCTCCGGCAGCGGACCAAGATACTCCCCGCAGCTCTCCAGAACCCACCTACCTGAGGCACTTTCTAGTGCGAAACTACAACCAAACTAAAAGTATGAGGGTCCTCCGAGTCAGGACAACGTCGGTCGCTTCCGAAGCAGGAACGCTAAAAGCCAAACCTGCGCAAAATTCAAACCTTCCGTACCAAGCCTCTGATTGGAGGGGCTTTAACCAGCACTTCCGGGAAAGTGCCCGCCTCTTCCCTTCGACGAATCTTGCGATAGGTTCGCTCTGTGCGATATTTGAATTGATTGAAAGGCGAAGGGACGGTTCAATAGATGGGTGTGACGGGAAAAATAGGCGGGACCGCCACGCTGAAGGCGAAGAGCGGAGCCGTAGGGGAGCGAACTCAGGTGCCGTAGCCAAATTCTGGCGGAATTCTGGTAGCCAGCTGTATGCAATGGGCGAGTTCGTCCCACGGCCCTGAACTCCCAGAATCTCCCGGCCTTGTTTAGTCACAAAAATCCAGAAGACATTATTAGCCAGAAAACATTTCATTTACTTGCAGTACTGGGGACAGACCCCAGCGGGTCTTTTTTCCTGAGCTGCATACCCAGCACCTCCTTTTTAAATTTTTGAGACAGCGTCTTGCTGAGTTGCTGAGGCTGACTTCGAACTTGAAATTCTCCTGCCTCCGAGCACCACCACGCCCAGCTTTTCAACATTTAAAAGAAAAGGCCTGCCACACAAATTCCTCCTTACATTCTTCAGTGACTTTTTCCTTTCTGTCCATTTTTTGTTAAGGAGAAATTTACATATTTTGGTGAAAGGCATTTTTTTTTTGAGTGCACAATAAATGCACTCAATAATAAATAAATGTAAACAGCTTTACATTTATTTTAGGGTTATTTATTTAGGGTTTTAATAAATGTAAACAGCTGTTTATCTAATGGCCAATCAGGATTCCCATCATCAGAGTTCCCTCCACTGATTCCATCAGGAGGAAACTTAATCTTCCTCTCAGCAAGTTTTCAGGATGCATGCGTACTGTTGCATGAGCCAACAGTTAATTTTTATTGCCGAGAAGTATTACATTGAGTGCTTTATCCTTTCGCCCCTTTGTGTTATTTCTGATCTTGGTCTAGAATGAACGAAGTTGTTATGATCTTAGCTATATCTCTTTTTTAGGGCATTTTAATTTCTGTTGGGGAAAGTTAGGCATAGCTTGTTTGGGGCATTCTGGGTAGGTTTAACTAAGAAATTAACGAGCAGTTTTCCAAAGTCCTGCCTTTGATTTATAGGCACTCCAGTTATTCCCGTGCTTTCTAACGTTTAGGGTTGTCAGTATTTCATTTTAACCCTCCAGAGGGTGCGAAATGATGTCTCCTTTTAATTTTGTTTGTGGAGACAAGGGTCTTGCTATGTTGCCTAAACTGGCCTCTAAATCAAAATCTGAACGCACCCTCCCTAGTTGCTTGGATTTCACGAGTACCCCCACCATGGCCAGTTTTGAAATTGTTTCCGAAAGCTCTGCCCTTGTCCCCCATGCCAATCCAATAACAAGGACACCGGTTTTGAGAAAAAGGAAATAGAACCTTTTATTGCTTTGCTAACAAAGGAGAAACACTGGGGACTCCTGTCCCTAAAGCTGTGATTCTGCCCATCAGCAGGAACAGGGGGCTTTTAAAGAGGCGATTCAAAAGCTACATTCCCCTCATTTCTGTCTGGAGTTGTAATTCATTTGTTAATTTGGAAGATAGTCATTTCTGAGATCATCTGGTACCATCCCCAAATTCCGAATTACTTGGGTTCTATGTTGGGTATGTACTCAAGGACAGATAAATCTGCCTAGGATGAAGAAGAAAGGTAATCCTGTTTCACCTGAGATTAGGGAGGAGGGAGAGATTAGGGAAAAGCGATGAGAGAGGAAAAGAAAGAAACATGTCCATTTAAAAAATAACTTTCAGTGACAAAGCAGCAAGGGTTATATTGTAAGGGTCCCGCGAAACGTCGGAGAAAGAGACCACCAAGTGACCACTCATGCAATTGGCAGAAGGGGGATTTATTGAACCAGCATGCTGGGGCTCCGTGCCCACTCAAGAAGGGAAAGCAGCCCAGAGCCCCGAGCAGGGGCTGAGCACTGCTTAAGTACACTTTTTGGGGAGGGCGGAGGGCTTTGTATACATCAGAACAAATCATCATGAGGCGCGGGAAAATTGAACAACAACTCCTAAACATGATTAGTTCATTCATTGGCGGGAACAGGTCAGGCTGGAGTGATAGGTCATTCCTAAGGAGGGGGTTACATTTAAACTGATTGGTCCAGGCCCTGCAATGCCTACGTGCGACCACACAGAGCCCTTATTAAACAACCAAATAGTCAGGGGAAATATTTACTGGGCAGTTCCAAGCATTGTCTTAACAGCTACAGAAATTTCAGGTTTTGCAGGTAGCATAGAAATCTAACAATACCTAATCCTTTACATTTTAACTCAGACCTTGCAGCTTAGAAACTTTACAACACCCGGTCTTTTACCCTTTAACTTTTACGCTTTAACTTCAATTTCTTTTACCCTTACAATATTGAAAGCATAAAGTGAACCGCTGTTACACAATGACTAATGATAATGAGGATTTTTTTCATGTGTTTATTGACTATTTTTATATCTTGTTTTGTGAAATGTTTGTTCAAGTTTTGTTTTTAGTTTTTTAAAAAATGTTTTTAAAATTGAATATTATAGTTTTTAAATTTGGCTGTCTCTTTATTTTTCATTTGTAGGAATTTTATTCTGGGTACAAGTCCTTTGTTAAATATGTGTATTTTGAATGTATTTGCTCATTTCACGGGTGGTCTTTTTAAAATCAAACTTTAGATTCACTGAAAATTTACAGATAGTAGAATTCTCATACCCATTTCTTGCTGTTTACATAAGCATGGTACCTTTGTTACAATTAATGGAATGATACTGATACATTATTATTCTTAACTAAAGTCCATATACTCCTTAGATAGTCTTACTTTTTTTTTACTCACTGATCTTTTTTTTTTTTTCCATTCTGTATACCACCTACATTTAGCTGTCATGTTGCTTTAGGCTGCTTACCCTGTGACTGTTTCTCAGATTTTCCTTGTTTTTGATGACCTGGGCATTTTTGAGAGGTCCTCTCCTGATCAAGTATTTTGTAGAATGCCCCTCAAATGGAATTTGTCTGATGTTTTTCTCATGATTAGATTGTGATTATGGGTTTTGGAGGGGAAGACCAGAGAGGTAAAATACTGTTTTCATCACATTACATAAAAATATATACTTTTTGTATAATACGTCAAAACACATTCTATGGACATGTATAACTAGAAACAATTTTTTAATTTGTTTTAATTAGTTACACATTTGGGCTGGGGATGTGGCTCAAGTGGTAGCGCACTCGCCTGGCATGCGTGCGGCCCGGGTTCGATCCTCAGCACCACATACAAACAAAGATGTTGTGTCCGCTGAAAACTAAAAAATAAATATTAAAAAAATAATAATTAGTTACACATGACAGTACAATGATCTTGATATATCATACATTTGAATCAGATGGGGTATAATTTCTCATTTTTCTGAGTGTACAGAATCACATTGGTCATGCGGTCACGAATATACATACAGCAATAATAAAGTCTATTTTATTCTGCTGTCCTTCCTGTATGATATATGTATAACTAAAAAGAACAAATTAAAAAAAATTTAAAGAAAAATGTCGCGACCCCTTGCCCGCAAGGAAGACGCAACTCAGGAATCTTCTTTCAGCAGTTTATTCAGGCCCTTGATATTTCTTCTTCTCCCTCTTGGATGCCCCTCCCAGCCTTAATAAAGCATCTCAAGCCCCAATGCAAAGCTGCCACGTGGAGCTTTCTCATAGGGTGATAAGGGATTACGTGCCAACTCTCCAAAAAAGGAGTTGTTTATCACAGGCACAGTGGAAGCCGGCGCCATCTTCTAATGGCGGCCACGGTCTATAGGAACGGCTCACCACAGTTCCCCCTTCTGTTTTATAAAACAATGCAGGCGAAAGTAGAGGTCCTATCCCACTGTGCAGAAGTGGCTGCAATGTATGGTTCAGTCCTAAGGAGGCGTCTTCCCCAGACCTGATCCCATATCAGCCGACGCCTTTTTTCGTGGGGCGGGGCGTGAACGCGTCTAACCCGCATGCAATAGGACATGCTCTCCTTGAGGTCCACGTCAAGGATCACTCAAGTGCAGTGCCTTGCCTCGCATCCTGCATCATGACGACGGTGAGAAGTAGGATAACACAGGTAGCCTGGTAATGATGACAAAATTTAAGTTGGCAACACAATCCCTAAGCCCCAGAGGAAGGTAAAGAGTCTGTAGCCGAGAAGAAAGACCAGTCCTGAAACCCATCTGCGTGCAATGGTAACAAGACCTGCAGAGTGCAAAGGCTATCCAGCACTGGGAGAGCATAAAGAAGAGGGCATGCCAATCCCAGTGCAATGTGAAAATAACTTGGGGTGCAATGGCCATGCCCAGAAATCACTGTTTAAGATGTGCAAGCCAGATTTGTGGAGAAATGCCATTTTCTAAGGCCGCAAGAGCCTGTACAATCATAGCTTTCTCTTGCGCATGGCGAGCTTTAAGGCGACAGAGAAGCCACAAACAAAGTACAACACCGAAGCAACACATTGCCCCAAAAATGCCTACCCCCACCCACTCTTTGAAGAAGGAAAAAGCAGAAGATATCCAATCGGTGAATCGACCCAAAGTCACGGGATCGACACGGGTACTGTTCAAAACAGCTATCTGGGTTAGTTGAGACTGGATCATGTCTTCCGCTGCCATGGACCAATTTCCGGCCAAATATTCGCCAATGATGCGGGAGGCATTCCTGGAATCATTAAATCTGACAGAGGTTATGCATAAATGTGCACGTTGGTCGACACAACCCAAATGTACTAGATCAGACAACTCCTCAACTTGAGCTTGAAGCAGATCTATCCTTTGATTAGCAGCCAAAATCCCAGATAAAATGTGTTGATTAATTTTACTTTGGGATTCAAGTACAGTGGATGTTTGTTGAACAACTTGATTAATAGTGGCAGCAGTTTGTACTTGACTGGCCATGGCCACTCCGGCCGTAACTGCTGCAGCAGCAGA